TCATACAAACAAAAATATAGAATAACAATATCATACAAACATAAATTTATCCATGAAAACTGCAAATTGTTGTATGTTAAACCAATAAAATAATAATGTAATGTTTATATTTAACATAATCAAAGATCTTTAAATTTATATAATAAAATGTAACTAAAAAACAAATACGATTCTGTTCATATGATCAAGATAGGATACATATGATGATGCTAAATATAATTGTTTTAGTTCTTGGCTATTTGCTAAAAATTCATCAAATGCAATTCACATAATTTTTTTAATTAAAAATATTGCCCTTCTTTTAGGATAACATTATCTTATGTTGTACGGACATTTTATATACATAAATAACACGCGGACAAACACCCAGGAGCAAAATAACTAAATAAAAATAATATCTGTGGATCAAAAAAATAGTTGTCCCATGTGGGAATCGTACCCACGACCCCCCCACGCCAAAGCTTTATCAACCAGATCTATATTCACTCATGTCATGTATACTGTATAAACCAATATATTGTAACAATTTTTTTTCTAGATCCCATTGTAAAAGAGCAGGGCCGAATGGTGTCATCTAACTCTCCAACTCCCAATGCACTACAAGGACCAATAAATGCTACAGAATAATTGTTATTAAACTAAATAATGCTCTTTGTAACACTATATATTGAATATTTACTTGTACAAGATTCCAGAGAAGATCCATTAAAAGAGACAACACTACAAAACATGTCCACTGAATGAAAAGAACACAAGGAAGGGAGCACACTGAGGAGCATCATCTCTGTTGAAACTAATAATGATATCTCTAATGTAATTCCAATGTTCACAAAATGAAGTATAATTTGGAAAGACAATATAATTTAGTGATTAATGTTAGTAAAAATCTGGTTTATTCATTGTTTTAAAGTGTTTTTTCTCCGGTACAAACTTATTAAGTTCATGAAGTGTACTCGAAACAATTACTTTCTAGTATTTTATGGTGGTTTGAAATTTTACAGTAAAAGTTCAATATCCATCCTTTTTATGTGAAGTTCAATATTAATTATTGAGATAAAGGAAAACAATTCGAGTTTCATTGCACTTGATCTTTTGCATTTATTAACCTATATGGTATTGATATTGTAATTACTTGTATGATATAATATTGATAACACCTGCAAACAGATTGCAAAATACTGGTTAGCAACATTTCGTTGGTACTGCTATTAAAATTTTGTATTTATGTAATAAAAGTAAGATGTAGATATGTGTGATATAAATACAAAATTTTAAGATTTAATTGTTTCTTTTTATTACATAATAAAAAAAATTAGTAATGTCAAAAATAAAATATTGCTTCTATTAGTATATTTTAGTAAGTTATATTAGCTGTCCCTACAGTTATAGATAAATCAAGTCGATCTTCAACAAAAAGGTGGGACCTGATGGTTATAATTTATTTTTAGTGTGATAACTTCAAGTTGTTGCATCAAAATTTTCTTAATAAACAGACTAACTTTGCCTGGAAATGTTTTCAATTTTTTGTATCAAATACAAAAACTGAATATAATTACTACAACCCTTTTACACATTTGTATAACAATTCTAATCTGAATTTTATATATTTTAATATTTCTGTGATCAGTATACAAGATTTTTGCAAATATTAGTATACAAAAAGACTATTGAATAAACAAGTTAGTTATTTGTGCGTATAAATGTATAAATAATCTCACTGGTAATTCGTAAGAATTGACTAACCTGAAGCCAAGTAGCATTTTCAAATTCTTTTAAGGTAAAAAGGTTATACTAATACTACAGTTAAGTAAATAGTAAAACTTTGTTAAATGGGAATAAATTCTTTAATTGCTTTAGTTCATAGCAGTAGGCCTATATAAGTCTACAGTAATTTTTGAAAATTGGCTTTTTTTTTGAAGGCATTGGAACCACACTAAATAGATTTCGTTTCCATCCCTAGTACTGATATTCTGCTGTATATACTTTGGGAAATTCTACTTTGTCTATAATATGTCTAACACACTAAAACTAGTCTATCCAAATGATAATTCGAGTCGCTACTTTCCATCTCAATATCTTAATTTTTAATAACTTTTTTTTTTGTTTGGAAATTTATTTTTTCCGTTACTCTCCGTACTAGTTGCCTTGCAACAGTATGAGTAAAATGCATACCAATGACTAAAAATTTTGTCGTTTATTTAACTATTTGAACTTTAAATACTCTTAACTCGTGTTACAGCGACCGAGGAACTCACGTGTGTGTGACTGCTCGAACTAAGATAATTGGCCGTATATTAGACAATTTTATTTAGTTGAAATGCAGACGAAGCGGGGTTTTAACTTAAGATTTAACATTTCATAATTTTTATTATTATTTATTATTTTAGATTTTAAATAAATAATAATAATTTTTATATATTTTTAATTTAAATGGCGACGCAATGGGCGTAGTTGATAGCGAACTCGTCTCTTGCACCAGAGGGTATTGGGGTTCGATCCCCACTACTGTAAAAATATTGTGTGATGAACATGTTGTTTTTCTAATGTCTGGTTGTTTATTTATCTATTTATTTATTATATATTACAAATATTTAAGATAATTAAATTTTCTTAAATATATATATTTAAGAAAATTGTATTTATCAGTTACCTAGTACCCTACAAGCTTTGTTTAGTTTGGGATTAGATAACATTGTGTGAAAGTGTGTCGTGAAATATTTATTTTTAAATGACAATTTTGTATTTTCTTTGACCATTATTGTTACATTTATTTGTCGTTTTGAGTTGCTTATATAAAAATTGTTTCTAATAGTTTGTCGATTAAAATTATTGGGTTTAACTTTGTATGGTTGGTGGTGCTAGTTGTTATAATGAAAACAAGGAGGAACAATAATAGAGTGCTGTGTGAAAAATTTTCAGTGGCAGGCAACTATCTGACAGAATAACTATCTTACAGAAATAAAAGATTTTGGTGTTCTCATGGACAGACAACTCTCCTTTAGTGCCCATATAGACCATGTTGTTACAAAAATGTCACAACTCATCGAATTCTTAAGGCGGACCACTAGGGCTTTTGAAAACCCATTCACCAAGATATACAATGCATTCGTTCGAAGCCTTCTTGAGTATGCTTGTGTTATGTGGTGTGCATTTTATAGCGTCTGTGTAAATTCACAAGGCATTTGGCATTAACAACCAAAGAGATTACCCGTCGCGATTATGCTGAGCGGCTTCCCTTTTTTAAGTGCATCTTAAAAAAGTGAAGCTTGTACTCTTAACAATCTTCGTAAAATGCATGACGTGGAATTTTCTGACTGTTAAATAACTCAATAAATTTCCCCGACGCTCTTCAAAACATTTCACTAGCTGTACCTCACAAATTTCCACGCAAACCGATTACAAAAATCTTTCATACACCGACCGTAAAAACTAATGTTGGCCTCAATTCACCTTTTGTAATAATGTGCAAAGAACTTAATACACTTTTATACCGTGCTGAATATATCGACATTTTTAACGATTCCCCTTATGTTTACAAAAAGAAAGTGCTGGAGTCTTTTCATTAGTATATAATTATAGTATAGTATTCTTTAAAATTAACTTATTTTTGATTCTTTCTATTTTTTGTATTTAGTTATTTATGAATTAGTTTTTTTGTTTATTAAACCTTTGTCGCAATATTGTAAATGTTGTACACACCTGTTATAGGTGTACATATTAGGTACAATGTTTTTTATTTTTTATTTTTTGTAAGTTGTGTAAATATATATACTGTTGGTGTGTCTATAACAAAAAAAATCTGTGGTCCGCCTTGGGAGCTAGAAAGATGCAAGAAGTCTTGAATTTGATAACAAAATTTAAAAATTAATAAAACATGTACAACATGTAAATACAGACAACTAAAAATTCTGTTCCCCATTGGCTATGTAGGAAATTCCTACTTTGGTGACATTACGCCTCTAAACTACTCATGAAGCTGGTCTTTACACACGAACGCGTATTTACACGTAAGACTCGGTAAGTAGGAATCAAAGGCATTCAGTCAAAATTAAAAAAGTAAACATTTAACAGTACCTACAAATACCGTTTCATAAGAAAAATCACATCTTTATAATAATATTGAGGACGGATTCGCGTCCAGATGCTTTAACCACCAAGCTAAACAGCTTATTGCTACACCAACAAAATCGCCAACGTCTTTTATCTACACTGTTTTCGCTTTTCATACATACAATTTCGAATTACCTATCGTTAGTTTTTTTTGCCACCGTAACAAAATATCGGAGGAGCTATAAGAAAACTGAAAAACAAGCCACGGCATTAAACTGTAATTTATCACAAATAATAATAAAAAGATAGAGTTTAGTTTAAAAAGTTCGATGCGGGGAAGTTACTTCAATTAAAATAGGTCATCGTCTAGAGGTCATTAAGACGAGGAATAATTGTGTGACAAAGTACTAGTCTAGACTCAAGGTGAAACTTTTAAATTGTGGAATTTTTGAAAACTAAGCTAAACGGCGGCGACGTCATGGCGCTCACAAAAATCTCGACATTTATAGCAATGCTTCGCGCCAACTAATTTGCATCCTTTACAGACAAAGAACGTTATCACGAGAGATGTCGCCTTTGCTCTTCAAAATTTTTAGGATCAATATTTATTTAAAATGAATACCTCACGGCGCGAAAATCTCGACATCTACGTTCTTTTTATCGCATTTTTAGCAATGCTTGGCGACAACTAATGTGCATCCTTTACAGCATGCAATGCTTTGGCAAAGAACATCGCGAGATTTTCCAAAGATTCATCTTGACTTGAGTGCAGGATTATCACTAAAACTACATAGATTCGAGATTTTCGCGCCGTGGGGTTATTTAGTTGGTAAAGTGTCATAAGGGTCCGGGTGCATTTTCCACGATCCCTGCATAGCTGAGGAAAACTAGGGTATAAAAAATAAAGTCAATATTCAAAATTGTTTATTTTGTGTCATAGCTTTTAATTATGGATTGCTTTTAATTTCAAATATGTCTTGTAATCCTCTTTCCAAATAATTCTTGCTACAACTGTAGCAAAGTTTATTATCAATATAAGGGAACATTGACGTTTTATGGTGATGGTGGTCGAGCGGTGACTTTACGTTCGTATTTTGATCAACATTGTAATATTCACTTGGTTGACAATTTGAAACAGTTCTTGAAAAAATTGTTGCTTGTATTGCTGTCATCTTTTCAGTCATCATGTTAAAATAGCTCTAGAATAAAACGACCAAAACATTACTAACAAGTATTAAATAATGAGAACATAAACAAAACAGTCAAAATAAATTGACGTTATATAGCGTTATTTATAGTCGAATGAAGTTAAAGCCTACGTTCAGAGGAAATTAGTCTCCTTCGGATGGAACGCTAAACTAGTATAGCCTCTAGTTTTAATAAAGTATTTGTCACAAGTTCCTATAAACTATTAACCAACGCACATATCATCATTTAGCTTCATCATCTTTTGTTTACATGCACTGTGGTCAGTAGTTTATGAAAACATTCTAGTGTATTCATAAACGACTGATATTTATACACCTATACTTTCGAGGAGTCTGGCGAGAGTGGTCAGGTAGGTAAAGTTAAATACACAATGAATTTAAGAATTTACACTTTGTTAACTAGTGTGTTTATCATCGCACTTTTCATGCGTACGTTAACCGTTAAAAAAGTTGAAATTATTACGAGCTTGAAAAATGGTGAGAGCAATGTTGATCTGTGCAAAGAACTAAAAATTTCTATAATGTGAAAAAATCACGCTAAAATAATGGAGAGTTGAAAGTTAGATGAGAATCAAAATTCTTGAAAATGAAAAATATTGTAAACCAAGATATCGAATATCCTCTTCTATTGTGGTTCAAGGATCAGGCAAGATAAAACGTTCTTAGAAGCAGTGGACTGTTACAAGAAAAAGCCAATCATTTTTCCAAACTTATTGAGAAAACGGACTTTAAATGTTCTGAAAGTTAGATAGACAAAATTGCCAACGTCGCGATATTGTAGTCGGTGAACTTTGTGAACAATTAGCTTTATCGAGAAATTACTAGTAATTGGCTGAAAACAGTTTTACTGAAACTAACTGAGGAATATACTTCATGAAAGGCAGATAGAACGCTGACGAGACAGGATTTGTTTTTAAGTAAAGTTTAAGTGAGAAAAACGCATAGGCGGGTAAAAGAGAGAACTACAGTGCTTGTTGCACAAGTGTAGAGGATGATACAAGCTATTGTAAAAAATACCATGTAAATCTTTAAAGAAGCCTTTGTAATGGCAACAGCAGTAAATACAGACATAATAAGATGATAAGAATGTTTTGTGCATGCTGGATTCTGTAAATCTTCAAATATGAAGAGAATTATAGAAAAAGCAAAATTATCGTCATAGGTGTCGTGGTTGTTACTTTCTTGTCAATGTTTACGAAAAAACTTTTTGTAAACATTAATTTACACTGTCATTGTTTATTTGGTCAAGGCAAAGAAAATATACATATCAAGGGAGTTATGAAAATGGAACATAGTCCACATTGTATTGTAGCAGAGAAATTTGTTTAGATGTAAACATTTTCTTTAAAAAACCTACATATTTAGCTACTCCCAGAAATAGTAGCGGAATTATAGTGATTGCTTAATTGTTGTTGAAAGCGCAATCCACTGTATTTGAAAAAAATAAAAATAACATCAATTTTATTCTAATTGCAAAACATACCATTGTTACGTAAAATGTAGCATATTTGATAATAAAATTATTTTAGCATATACAAATATAATATACAACGTGTCGTTACAACCGCGACCAAAAATGAACAAACGTCTAACGCTACTTACCAATAATCATAAAAAAATATCAATCGTTAAAAAAATCCATAATTAAAAAAAATATTTTTCAAAAAATTAAATAAAAAAGAAACAAAATTTGAAACATCTATACAACTACAACTGACTGATTTGTACATTCAGTCTCTCCTTCTAACAGTATGTTTTAACTCTTTTTAATTCATTTAACCCATTCATATGTTTTGTGCCCTGTACAAATGCACTTTACGTTACAGTTTTATATGTAAGGGTGTTCTAAAAATGTTCTATAGAGAGATAGATAAGAAAATGCATAAAATATACAGTACTAGTTTTTTAAAGAGATAGTTGTAATAATAAAAATGTTCACATTGAAATCATAATGTATCAATTTCATAATTTATCAACAGGTCATTATTATATAAATTAGTGTACAATGACATCTTACTTTACACATTTGGCACCGTTTAGGATTATTCTCTGTGGAGCTTATTTTGTCAGCAGTTTTGCACACAGTGGAAATTGTTGCTGGGAAGTTTTCTTGTAAATCAGATACAAATGTTTTTATGGTAGACTGTAAACTATTTTTTCTTATGTGATCTGTAGATACAGAATTCAGTTTGTTAACTTTTATATAGTGATGCAGTTCTTCTTCAGTAATATCTTTCATTGGCCTTAGGATTTTTATATTTTCATGACGGTTATCAGAAAACCCCTAAAAATTTATAAATATGATTAACATTTACAAAAGATTTTGTTTCTTTATGAAGAAAACATAATTAATGGTCAATACTTACTACATCGTTTTCAACTTGTGAGCCCCTTCCAATAACAAGGTTGGATAATAAATTTATTGCCAATGTTGTTGTAGTTTCAGCAGTAAAAATGTATTTACATTGAAGTTCACTTGCAACTCTTATAAATATATCTCGCTTTATTCTTTTTTCAACATCATTACTGGTTGTAGGTGTTAGTTTTTTTAAAATTTCTTTGATATTTGCCTCTGGATCACTTACGGTCCAATTTATTATTTCTGTTGTGCTGTTCTGCTCTGGTAGGGTGTTATTATTTTGTAAATAGAATTTACTGATGTTTACAACATATATATTAAAGTTATAATGTTGACATTGCCTTATTATTAATTCTGCAGTTTTAAGATCATGTTCTTTCTGTTCAATACCTAAATTTGTAAAAAATGTAATTTAATAACCATAACATATATGTACCTGTGAATTCATAAAGATTAAAAAATGTACCTGTTAAATGCAAAAAAAAAGGAATAATTCTTAACTTTTTATGATTATCTTGAGATAAACCATTAAAAATTAAATCTAATAATACTGTTGAACTTTTTCCTCCCGTAAGGCATATAAGAACCTTTTCATTCGTTGATAAGATTTTGTTTTTTCCAATACATGCTCTAAATTTATGATTAATATTAAGCAAGAAACAATCCACACAATAAATATACTCCTTGCGTATATTGAGAGAACCTAGCTGTCCACATTTTTTGCAATTCATTTAAATTTATTGATATAAAAGAGATTAACTGAACTAAGTATTGTAATAATATGGGTTATGTTTTGTTAATAGCTATGTATGTTGAATTGAATCATAGATACGACACATGTTATACTTAATGAAATAGAATTTTGAATTTGACTTGAATTGAAGTTTGAAGTATTGTGAAATATGGTTATGGGCAGTGTTACCATCAAGTTATCAATCCGAATTTTTTTTTATAATTATATTTATAGATCACGTTGTATTTTCATAAGCTCGTAATAGACCAGGGTAGAAGCCTTGAAAAATAATAAAAAGTGAAAAAAAATAATAGTAGGATGAAACCCATTAGAAAAGGAGGGAAATATTATAAAAATGAAAGGAAAAATAATTTACGGGCGATCTGAGGTCGGGAAGGGGATGGGGGTGAGTTTTTAAGGGTAAAAAATGGTTTTTCTCGATTTCCGGCAAAACTAAAAGTCGTATCGAAAAAAGTCAAATGGCAAAGTTGTAGGTAATAAAAAGATCTAAAATTTTGTATTTACACTTTTTTCACATAACCTCAAAATTTATGTGAAAAATCCAAAAAACCAAGTTTTTGGTTTTTTTATTTTTATCTTTTACAAAAATTTTTTTTTTAACGAAATTTGGTGAAAACTTACCTTTTTATGTCCCAAATACGCTGTAATTTATTTGATTAAAAATATTTATTTTTTCACCTTATTTTGAATTAATATCAAAAAAAACACCCTAATTTTCAATCGAAAATTCACCCGTCAAAATATCAGCTTTTTTCAAAAAGTTGGTATGGTTTCTGTTCGTTGAAATCTCTACTTTCCGATGGTGAAAAAAAAAAATATATGTTACTACAGTAAATCTTCTCAGAAAATGCAAAAAATCAAAAAAAACTTGAATTCGAAAAATTTTTTTTTAATTATTATAAATAATTTCATCTAAAAAATGTGATTGCTGCAATTTGTTCCAATTAAAAAGTTGATTTATTTAATGCTAATTACATTTATGTCATAGAAAATCTTATTATATATAAATATAAATGTAAATCGTACTATTAAATGTAGATGCTTTATTCTGATTACGTTATTTATTACAATATTTTTAAACACATTAATCTTATCATTCATAAATACCTTATCTTCAATTCTAATCACTTATCCATTAGTTTTTGTCTTTTTGATGGCATTTCTTCATCGTTAGATTCGTCAAACATCTCCGATTCTAGTAGATCTTCGAAATCTTCATGACTATCACCTTCTTGGTCTCCAACATTATTTCCAGACTGCGTTGGTTCTTCTTCCACAATTTCTTCTGAATCATTAACTTCCTCGTAGGTTTCTTCTTCAATATTGGAGCAATTTTCAGAACCATGACAGTTTGAACATAAATTTGTGCATTTCAAACCATGTTTTCGGCAACCACATTTTAAACTGTTACATCCAGTTTCCAGCAAATAGTTTTGAGCAATATTTCCGGAATTAATTCTTTTTGTGTAAATTTGGGCATAATTCCACGTTGAAATTGCTTCCAGCCCCAATCTGTTGCTGTTAGTTCGTTACCCAACCAAGTTTGAAGCTGATAATATGCCCTGTAACAATGTTGTTCTGCTGCTCCTTCTGTGGGTGGGAGGTTTGCCAAAACGAAAGATGATTTAATTTTTGCCAATTGATATTTTTGAAACCTTAATTGATTCAGTGTAATTTTTTCTTTTTTACATTTATAAATAGATTTGATTAGTTGTAACCCATTTTCTTTTATTTCTTCGTTACTTGCATCTTTCTTATAAAAAACATTGGCCAAATTTGACAAATTTTTAGCGTCTAATAATGAATTGACGATACTTTTCTTTCCTTTTCCGGCAAATCCGGATGTTGTATCGCAACCAGAATAACAATGCAGAAATGCAACAATGTTTCTTAAGGATTCATGTTTGAAACTATTAGACGTGAAAAATAGGTCTTTTACATTTCCAGAACCTGGTTTGAGAAAATAAATGTCATGATTATATGAATTTAACTGATTTAAAAGGACCAAAAGATCAATATCTTGGCCCACAACAATGACAGTTTTATTAGTACTCATTGCAACTTTTATCGCAGTTTCAATTATGTCAGCATCAGCATCTTCTTCTACTTGGTTACAGGAAAATCCTCGTGACTGTAATCTTTTCATCAAAGTTTTTATTATTTTATCCTTATTTTTCTTGCAAAAAAGGTATTTTTGTATGATTTTGATAATCGAACTCTGGAATATTGTCTGAGGTTTTTCTACGACTACGTTCTCCTCTTTTAGTTGAAGTAGCTGCTGGTACTGTTGTGACACTAACTGATTTTTTAATTTCGGGATACCCATCAAAGACAATATAGCTGCTTACTGCGTAATGTTTTTCTACATAGCGCAAATATTTATTCATTATCTCTTCTACCGTTTCATTTTTTTGCCAAATTACTTTGTGCAGTAAAAATCCACCGTCAACGACATGCACTACACCGTCAGAAAGCGATGGTCCATTCGCACTCACAAATAAATCGTAAAGTTGAGATTTTACATTTTTCCTGAGGCCATTTTCTGTAAAAAGTGACAATGGAAAAGGTGCAAGCTCATATTGTAAATAAGTTTCCATATCTTTTTTACTGTCAATGGTTAACGATATTCTTTGAAACAACAATAATGGATCGATAGCTACAATATCTCCGTTCACTTTAACGGAAGATTGAACTGTTTTTAGAGACAAGACTTTGTTTTTCCTTTTAAATTTTACACTGCCAAAGTTCATTCCAACAATAGCTTGCAAAGATTTTTTTCCTTCTTCATACGCTTCATGGCAATTTACAGAATTACTGCCAATAATTCCAGAAAATATTGACATAATGTTATCAGTCTCTGGAAAAGGATCATACCTGTTAAAAAATTTTTGTAATATTTGTAAATCAGCTACATCTCTTTTTATTCGATATTCCCTAGAATCAATGTGTTGCTCTGTTGTTGCAAAAGAAACATTACAAAAGTTTTCCATAGCATTGCAAACTTCGACAAGTATGATCATTGTTAATACGAATTTTGTTAAAACACTTTCAGACAAACCACGACCATGTGTAAGTCCACCCTGAGTTTTCATAGATCTCATCAAAACTTGCTCGATCGTCATATCCGACCAAACTCCCGACCAAAACTTGTCAGTACGTCTAATTGTAAAGAATCCTTCGGTGAATCGCGTAAATTCATAATCATCATTTATTGTGTCTTTAAGCTTACGCATATCTTGAAGATAAAGATGAGCAGATTTTGCGTATAGAAAGTGCCCACTTGCATGAAAATAAGGAAGCATTCTTTCCACGCATTTTAAATGTAATTCCCAATTACCTGCACGTTCAGCCCGTATGAAATCTTTAACCAATGAGATCATTTGCCAGTACTGCATCCAAAGTTTTGCGGTAGGACCTCTTTTTTGTACTAATTTTAGATGCTCGATAAATTTTTCTTTTATGATCTGAAAATCTTCTTGATGCAAATTGTCTTCGAAATTTTCAGTTCCTAAATCCTGCAAAAATGTATCCATTAGCGCCTTTTCTGTGTAACTCCATCGATGAAAAAATTAATTCAGACAAGGCGAGCTGTACTAGAAAATGTCCTCTGATAGCTCGTGCATATGCGTGCCCGGAGAGAGCTTTGTCGGACGAATTTTCTGCATATATTTCACAAAAAGCCTCCTTTAGTCCACTACCATCCATGATGAATCCAATCGCTCCGAGGAACGACATCATAAAATGAAATCTCCCAAGTCTTACTTGGACTGAGGACAAATTGTAAGGATCATTATTTAAATCAATATTGGCCAAGATTTCACGAGCTTTATAGTATAGCGGCTGGTCAAACGTTACGAACACAATTTTTTGCTCTTGTTTTTGGCATTGCCTAGCCGCTTCTACCAACGATGTAAAAATGGTATTATAATCACTCGGTGGATTTTTTATAAATGGCACAGGAATAATTTTTGAAACATGATAAGTCAAATTAGTATGTAACTTCTCCATGAACCCATTCCAACCATCGGATTTGTTGTTTGCAAATTTTGAATAAGTCCATGTAAAATCTGCCGAAGAAATTTCATAGTTGTCCGTAACATCTAAAACATCTTCTATCTGAACTGTTTTTAATCCATCAGAGTTTTTGTTTTCAAAATGTTTTAATTTCACGAATCCAATTTCACCTATTTCTTCAGAAGATGGAATCTGTTTTAATCTAGAGATGCTTTTCTTTGAAGTAACACTAGACGCCGGAGTAACAACCATTATTCCACCCATTGCATGGAAAGTATTTTTGCCATCAATCGTGCATGTATTATGATCGGCATTGTCAAAAACGAATTGAACATATGAATCTGGAGAAACAATATGATTAGCAGGGTCCTTGATAATCGAAGCTTCAAAGCGCAAAGTTTCTTTGTATGAGGAACACAAACCTAAATTGGATAATGAGTCGATCAATCCTTTCGAGGCATATTTTTTGTGAATCATAGACGACAAACCAAGTAAAATTGGAGATAAAAAAGAACGTGGCCTTACAGATGTGATGATGCAATGAGACATTGTGGCCACTTTTTTATCCATCCTACGAACGTTATTTGTACTTTTTTCTTTATTACTCTTACACACAACATTCAAAAAAACTTGCAAAGTTTTAGGAACATCCTTAAAAAGATTGCCTTCGTCTATATCGAGAGTTTCGTAGTAATTCATATCATATACTTTAGAACGTATATCTTCTAAAACAATTTCAGCAGCCATTTCAACAATTCTAGTTCGTTCGTCTTCTTTACTTTTTAATCTTTTTTCGTACCAGTCTTTGCAGAGTTTCTTACTTGCAGTACCATTTTTGTATAAAATAATCATGTCCCTTTTAATTAAATGACAATCGATATCGTTTTGAAAATGCTCTTTCAATTTATTTTTAATAGTTGTGTAGTCTGGAAGATCTCCTGAAAATCCCTCTTTTATTTCATTTACAGAAAATTGACATTCTGTTTCGTTGTCAACGATATAATTAATAAGATAACACTATTTTATCGTGAATAAACTTCCATGAAAAAAAATATATTGAAGAAATAAATGTCAAAATGTATAAAAAATATATTATAAATGTATTAAAAATGTATTAAATATATATGGAAATCGGCCAAAAGTTTGTTATTAAAAATACATTTACGATATATATTTTATAGATTTTTAATATATTTTTTATGTACTTTGAAATATATTTTTTTTTCATGGGATTAACTAAATTTGTTTGTGCAAAATTAAGGAGATTATTATTTTTTTATCTTGTACTAAAATATCATTTAATTTCAATCTTTAGGTTATGTTACGTTAAGCATACTATTTTTTAAAGATAATATTACGATTTTTATGTTTGAGTTGATTGATACAGATAAAAATAGAGATAGTATTTACCTTCCTATGCAGATTCGAAAAGTTTTTTTGTTTTTTTAAGTAAACTTGTCACAATTATCTTCAAGAAACTCAGCGTGCACGTGTATTTTTATAAACGATGTTGTATACTGTACTGTATTTCGAATACTGGTTAGGCTAACGGTTGTAACAGCTGCTACGAAATATATAGTATATAATAGCAGGTATGTATGTAGTAAGACCCAGACCCGCCTAGCCCCTTCCCCACTTCTCCACGAAATACCTTTTGATGGGGGCTACAATTTTTCGTAGGTCACTCAGGTATATCTACTCAGGTATATATAATTTATCTTTAAATAGTTATAAATAGGCATTTACGCATATAATTTAAAGAAGATTCGACAACTTTCTCCAAATATTGTAGATGTCTTATTAAATATTAATTTTATTAACTTATTTGTTTGTTAATTATAGTAGTATATTTTTATTTGCAATTTTTTTGTTATCAATGTCACATGTAATCTAACGTTTTTCGAGTAATTAAAGTGTAAATTTTAATAAATAGCTCAAAATTATTTATAATAATTAAAAAATATTTTTCGAATTCAAGTTTTTTTTGATTTTTTGCATTTTCTGAGAAGATTTACTGTAGTAACATATATTTTTTTTTTCACCATCGGAAAGAAGAGATTTCAACGAACAGAAACCATACCAACTTTTTGAAAAAAGCTGATATTTTGACGGGTGAATTTTCGATTGAAAATTTGGGTTTTTTTGATATTAATTCAAAATAAGGTGAAAAAATAAATATTTTTAATCAAATAAATTACAGCGTATTTGGGACATAAAAAGGTAAGTTTTCACCAAATTTCGTTAAAAAAAAATTTTTGTAAAAGAAAAATAAAAAACCAAAAACTTAGTTTTTTGGATTTTTCACATAAATTTTGAGGTTATGTGAAAAAAGTGTAAATACAAAAGTTTTAGATCTTTTTATTACCTACAACTTTGCCATTTGACTTTTTTCGATACGACTTTTAGTTTTGCCGGAAATCGAGAAAAAACATTTTTTACCCTTAAAAACTCACCCCCATCCCCTTCCCGACCTCAGATCGCCCGTAAATTATTTTTCCTTTCATTTTTATAATATTCCCCTCCTTTTCTAATGGGTTTCATCCTACTATTATTTTTTTTGGTTTTAAAAATTATCGACCCTGGTCTATAATTCTCAATCATTCATACTTTGACATCTTTGAATATGTTTAGATTCATTTTGCGAATTGCCTTTAAACATAGCGCAATAAAATAGCGGACGCTCAGCAATTTCCGTTATAATCTATTTTTATAAAACAAAATTATAGAACGAGAGTGTTCAAATAGTAATAAAGACAAATAGATTAGCGATGAGACGATTTTCTTTTTTTCCAGATCTATCAAATCGATCTAAAACTTAATATCTAAAACTTAATGACTAAAAAACTAAGACATTATTATAATTTTTAGGCAAGTTAATTGAAATCTATTCAAAAATTGAAAAATATGGTAATGTTTTAATCACACTTTTGAAGATGGTGTCGAGCTGGGCGCGTCGTTATTAATGTCCATAGAAATAACCTCATTTACTGAAGTAAGCTTTTGGGGTGGGTGAAGCCACAAATCTATTTCCCATTTCCTTGCGCAGGTAAATGGTGTTAGTGGGTTTTGTTTTTTATTGTAGATCAACGTTGTGTACAAGGCATCGAGTCTTATCTTTGAATGCTTTTGCCTATAAACGAGCAGACGAGCAATCGAGACGTTTTCTAATATAGGATTTTTTGCCAATTTTCAAAATAATTAAAATATCTCTCTCTCTCTCTCTCTAATAAATCTCCACCAGTGTTCCATCTAGCGATGGGCGCGTCAACTTGCGTAGGTCGATTAAATCGACCTGATGTTAGAAGTCGTCAAACCGATCTAACTTTCTTATAAGTCGACATGAATTGGTTCGAGTTTGACCAGTTAGACTACAGCTACCGATCTATCGAATCGAGATCCGCCCCTCTCGGGCACCCTCGAATTGGAATGCTAGACGGGTACTTAGTACCAGCCCATGCCGAAGGTGAAAATGATAATTGATAGCATGATGGCCCGTACCGAGGCTCCCTCGAGTCCTCGAGCTTAGTCATCTATAATCAAGGTACAGGCTAGGTGCCTTCAACGCCCGGTAAACTTTAGAGGCCCCTCAAGGTCAACAGAAAAAAAAAACGAAAATAAAGAACTTAGGCATTTGTCTTGACAGCATCTTAAGTTGGACACGCCATTTAAATGAAGTCAGTAGAAGAACTTTTGCAGCTCTTAGTTCCATGCGACGTCTTCGGTCAATTCTTCCCATTCCTACAAAAATTATGCTCGCACAGGTTCTTCTCCTTCCAATTCTTGATTATGCTGACGCCAGCTATGTAGATATTACTGAGGACCAATTAAATAAACTTGAGAGACTTCAAAATACTAGCATTCGGTTCATATTTGGGTTGCGTAAATAGGACCACGTTTCTCAATTTCGTATACGTCTCAAGTGGTTGCCCATCTGACTTCGCCGGAATTTGCATATTCTTTCTATTTTGTACTGTGTTTTATTTCATTTCTCTACTCCACTTTATTTAAAGGAGAAATTTGAATTTGTAGGGCTTCCAGGGGAAGATCTTCGAGGAAGCTCATTTTAAAGGTGCCAAATCACAAAACATCATTTTTTGAAAAATCTTTTACCGTGCAGGCTGTTAAGCTCCGGATTTCCCCGCCGTTAGTTATTCGTGAGGCGCAATCTATTGGCACCTTTAAGAAATTAGTTAAAGACCATTATCTGTCTCATTCACTAGACTATCGTTAGGATTAAATATGTAATACATTATTCATGTCTAAATTATTATGATTATATTGCTTGAGGTCTAGTATATATCTATATGTATTCATGTATGTATGTATATAACTATGTATTTATGAGTGTGTATGTGCATACATGATTGTATTTGATTTAGTTATATATTATGTATGTTAATATTGCACCACCTACGTAGTAAACGTTCCTTTACGCCATTGGTTGCCTGGAAGAGATAGCTATGAAGCGATAAGGCCGCCAAATTGTCCATTCTATTAATTTGTTTGTGTATTGATAATTTTGTGTATCCTTTTATGTGTGGTGGACAATAAAGTATTCATTCATTCATGTAAGACTTGAAACTATTTTTCAATTAACGAGCCCTACAAAGTATTACTACGTCGATCGAACTCGAACGAATCGAACGTGCGCCGTGCGATGGCGAAGCAATGTAAATCGGTCTCGCCTTGTCTCTCATTTGATTAGATAACTTACGGTCATACATATAAGGTTAAGATTGTGCTTATACGTGAAATAAAATACTTTAAAAGTATTTTACTCCTTGATTGGAATATTTTGATGCCTGGTATGAGAAGGTGGACGTACTTTTAAGACCTGGTACGCTATTTAGCAAGTATAACCCATCCTACTGTAAACACCACTTTCTTCTTTTGTTCGTATTTTTATTAGATGAAGTGAAATCGGCTTTTGGAGATTCGCTTTTAATTCAATTTACTCGAGCAATCTGAGTTAGACTCGACGACTTCCAGCCTCCCGAACAAGCCGGATTCCGAAAAGGCTAAGACGGAAGAGTATAATCTGCCTTTGTGCCTAGCGTATGTGGACTATGAGAAAGCCTTCGATTCTGTGGAAATTTGGGCGGTACTCCAGGCTCTTCAGCGGTGCCAAATTGACTATCGGTATATCGAAGTGCTGAGGTGTTTGTATAACAAGGCTACGATGTCCGTCCAAGTACAGTCCAGTAGTACAAAACCTATCCATCTGCAGAAGGGTGTAAGACAGGGTGATGTCATATCCCCGAAACTCTTCACCGCTGCGTTGGAAGATGTTTTCAAGCTTCTGGACTGGAAAGGACGAGGTATTAACATCAATGGCGAATACATCACCCACCTTCGATTTGCCGACGATATAGTCATCATGGCAGAATCGCTGGAGGACCTGGGTGCTATGCTCAATGACCTCAACAGTGTCTCCCAACGGGTGGGCCTTAAGATGAACATGGACAAGACGAAGATCATGTCTAATGTCCATGTCACGCCTATACCGGTTGTCGTTGGGAGCACTGAGCTCGAAGTTGTTGACGAGTACGTTTACCTAGGACAGTTAGTCCGGCTAGGTAAGTCCAACATCGACGCAGAGGTCAATCGGCGAATCCAACTCGGATGGGCAGTGTTCGGGAAACTTCGGCAAATCTTCTCGTCGAATATACCTCAATGTTTGAAGACTAAAGTCTTCAATCAATGTGTGTTGCCAGTGATGACCTACGGAACTGAGATGTGGTCCTTCACTGCTGGCCGTATGAGGAAGCTCAAAGTCGCTCAGCGAGCTATGGAGCGGGCTATGCTCGGTATTTCTCTGCGTGATAGAGTTCGTAACGAAGACATCCGCAGTAGAACCAAGGTAACCGACATAGCTCAGAGGATTAGCAAGCTGAAGTGGCGATGGGCCGGCCATATAGCTCGTAGAACCGATAACCGTTGGGGAAGAAAGGTTCTCGAGTGGCAGCCTCGTACTGGCCATCGCAGTGTAGGACGACCCCCCACTAGATGGAGTGACGACCTGTGCAAATGTGCGGGAAGTCGATGGATGCAGGTGGCTCAGGATCGTACTTCGTGGCAGTCTGTGGGGGAGGCCTATGTTCAGCAGTGGACTCAAACAGGCTGAAATGATGATGATGATCTGAGTTAGTCGGTACCCGGTGCTGGTACCAATGAAATTGTTAATTTTAAGTGCTGCTGACTTCTCACGTGGTTGGTGAAGGAAAACATGATAAAAATAACAAAAAATGAGGGCATGAGAAGTCCACCAATCCGCAGTGAGCCTATGCCCAGCAGTGGGGCATATGTAGTTTACTTTTATTACTTGAGTAAATATAATACTCTATAATATATAATAATCTATATACACACACAAATATATATATATATATATATATATATACATACATATATAATACTCTATAATAACCAGTCACGAACTCTGACGTAGTTGACGGCTAATTTCAAGAGAGAGTTACGGGCGGTCAAAAATTCGTTTGGAGCCAAAACAAGATTTTTTGCCATAACTGGGTCTTGGGTCGAACATTGGTAACAATTTTGAATACAAATATACTTCAGCAAAGGCGCGAAATTGTACAGCTTGTAAAGCGGGAATTGAGCGGGATACAAGGAGAGTGGATAAGTGGGCCAACCTCTGATTTTTCTGACTTCGACGCATACCTACCTAATATGCGGTACTGCACATCATTTTATAAATTAAATTCCCAGCCGCCATTAAGCATTTTATAGATAATTCTTCTTGGAGAATTAAAATTAATTTTAACTGAACTTAAATAAAAGCTCTAAACCATTGGAGATAAGTGTATTATATTGTCTTCATTAAAAACTTAGGCTTAAACCTTGTTGAATGCAGCGATGTCAACGCTTTGAACCTGTGAAATATAAAACAAAAAAATGTTAACATGAAATTGTCGGCTTCAAGCACAGTTTTCAATCACGCAAATCTTAAATGCGCTAAATAATCTGGATTACTTCGTGAGTTCTGCTCACGTATTATTATAGTGGACGTCTTCATAACAATTAAATCACGAGCATAATGTACACATATCCAGATATTATAGTCCGTAACAAATTTATGGAGCACTCAAAGCATTTTCAATATTGGGATCGAACCCACGACACAGTACGGTTAAGTGCCGAGACCGACGACCTAAACACTAATTTTGCTGTCCAAGAAAACACCGCCCAGCCTTCTCCATGTATGCTCTTGGACACCTTTGAATTTTGCACCACTTAGGTTTTGAGTAGCCTACATTTATATTTACTTTTATTTCTTTCTATTTTTTTTATTAGTATTATGAAGAACAAAAAATATGTTGACACAAACTTATGTGAAGTCTTTTTTTATATTTTTATTTTAAAATATGTTTAGTGTATTTTATCTCAAAAAAATAATTATTTACACTTCTTGACAAACACACTCCATTGTTATAGAAGGAATACCAACAAAGGCTCAGGAAGCTCAGTTAGGGTAAATAACCCTTAAGTCTTTTTTTGTGGAAATAGGAGGCAAATTTGCTTATTTGGTTGGCTAATGGTGGTCACCTAATGGTAAGCAATCACAGCTTCACACACACCTCATGACAATTAAAACATTGAACATAAAAAAAGGTTAATATCTTTTCTGTCACAATAAACCCACAAACTTACAAATTCCTCGATTTTTTCGATTTCTTCAGTAAGCCAATCTACTGAGACTTTATCATCTTCAACGACACATGAAATTTGCAACTTGTGTATACCAAAAGCCAGAGGCACAAGTTTGGCGGCACCCCAAAGGAGTCCATCTGTGGTAATCGTCCTTACAGCTGCTTCCATAGCCGCCATATCAGTTTCATCATCCCAAGGCTTTACATCCAAAATGATGTTAGACTTTGCGATCAAGACTGGCTCTAAAAATATTAAGGTCATGTAAGAAGGAATCAACCAATTTTATTTATTTAAATCAAATGATCTAATGCACAAGCTATAACTGATTTAATGGTGTAGCACCTTGCATTTGTGATCATGGTGGTTGGAAATATGTTAATAATTACAGTAATACCTGGATCTTGAACATAGCATTTTTTTTTTTAAATTAAAAAGGTTTTTGGTTTTTCTAGTTTACCAGTGGTAAGTTTAAAAATAATATGACTTATTGACAAAAGGGACAAAAGAGGGTAGAGGGTAGAAAAAAATATTTGGGGTGGACCACCCTTAACATTTCATCATCATCATCATCATCATATCCTAGCCGTGTTCGGCTACAGCGACTGTTTACTAATATTGAGAGCGTCGCTGATGCGCTCTCAGGTGACTGACGTAGCCGATTTTTGCTGCGAATGTGCGGCCACACTCGCCACAAGTCAGCACCCCTCCGATATAATTATAATAAATAGCCGCAGGTGGTCTGGCCTTCGACTGGTCCCGCTTAGAGTCCAGTTCGTTACGGCGACTAGTTTCAAAGTCGTACACTTTGCTGTGCACCGTTTGCCTCCATTGTGTCCGATCTCCTGCTAGAGTCTCCCACTTGGATGGTTCAATTTTAGCTCTTTTCATGTGGCGCTTCAGCACATCTTTGTACCGCAGAAACTGCCCACCTTGCTTGCGTTTACCGTTCTGCAGTTCACTGTAAAAGATGCACTTCGCCACTCTGTTGTCAGCCATGGGGGAGACATGCCCGCACCATCGCAGCTGCCGCCTTAGATAGGCCTCTATTCCGGCAACACCAGCACGCCGAAGAACCTCCGTGTTTCTAACACGGTCGGACCAGTGGATGCCCAGAATTTCACGGAGGCATCTCAGATGGAAACTATCTAAGGTGCGGATATGCTTGCGATATAGGACCCACGTTTCTGATGCATACAGCAGACTGGGCAGAACGATTGCCATGTAAACAGCTACCTTAGTAAGGAGTTTTATATCATGTGACCGGAACACCCCAAAACGAAGTTTGCCAAATGCTGCTGAAGCGGCTCCTATTCTGCAGTTGACTTCGTTGTCAAGGTGGCACTTAGATGTAATTGTGCTCCCCAGGTACTTAAATTGCTCTACCTGCTTAAGCAAGTCACCCCCGAGTTTAATGTCTATCTGTGGATTGGCAATTATGTCAAGAACCATTACTTCGGTCTTTTTGACATTTATCTTAAGGCCAAATCTTTGACAAGACTCATCTAGACTCGACATGAGCTGTTGTAGAGCACCTGGAGATTCCGCCACAAAACATAAGTCATCTGCATACATCATCTCAGTGACTATTGCGTGGGACACTTTAGTGCGCGCCTTCAGCCGAGCTAGGTTGAATATACCACCGTCGGTGCGATAACGAATACGGATGCCCTCAGATAAAGTTTGAAGCGCCTCCCTGACTACTACTGCGAAGTATAAGGCAAACAGAGTGGGTGCAAGGACGCATCCTTGCTTCACACCACAGGTTACGGCGAAAAACTCTGATTGTTCGCCGTTGAAACTTACGCAGCATTGCATATTATCATGCAGTAGTCGGATCATCCTAACAAACTTCTCCGTGCATCCCAGTTTCGCTAGTACCACCCATAAGGCTTCGCGAGGCACGCTGTCGAATGCTTTTTCAAGGTCCACGAAACAGAGATACATTGGTTGACCTTGTTCTTTACATTTCTCTTGAAGCTGGCGTACAGAAAAAATTGCCTCACAGGTACCTCTATCCGGTCGGAAGCCAAATTGGGTTTCTGGTAAAACTCTCTCCGACAGTGGTATTAGGCGGTTTAACAGAATTCGGGCAAAGACCTTCCCTGAAGTAGTTAGAAGGGATATACCCCTGTAAGAGTTGCAATCCGAGCGGTCTCCTTTATTTTTATACAGGGAGTATATGCGAGAGACTTGGAAGTCAGCAGGTACTCGCTCTTCATCCCACATTTTTGTAAACAGCTTCAAGACCGCTTCGTGGAGCTCCTTTCCCCCATACTTTATTAACTCTCCAGGTAAATTGTCAATTCCCACCGCCTTTTTGTTTTTTTGTTGCCACCGCCTTTTTGTTTTTTTGTTGCAGCCACGACCTCACACAGTGCCAGAGGCTCATCCAGCTTAAGTACTGTAGGCAGTGCCGGTAAAGAGCTAATATGGTGCATATCCGCAGCTCTGTCAACATTTAACAAATTGTTAAAATGTTCTGCCCATCTTTGAAGTATCCCAAGCTTTTCGGTAACAAGTCGAGTGCCATCGGAAGATTTTAACGTCATAGAACTTCGGTTCACTGGGCTGAAAATCTTGTTAACCTCGTTATAAAATGCACCCAACTGGTTTGTATCGAAAAGCCACTGAATGCGCGCGGCCTTGTCTTGCCACCGCTTGTTTTTTACTTCCCTAACTTTTCTCCGAAGTAGAGCGCCATTCTGCTGAACTAAGTCTGCTTGATCACTACGATTCAAACGCAACAGTGTCCGATGTTTCCTTAATGCCTCGGTCAGTGCTTCGTCGTTGTCATCAAACCAATCCTCGCGTCTACATGGCTTAACGCCAAGTATTTGTGAGGCGGTGTCGACTAGTATGGACGAAACTGACATCCAGTTAGCAATAGGGTCACCAATGTCGCAATCTAGGGTTTGAATCGCATTACCAACTGCCTGAGCATAGACCTTTTTAGTTTCTAGAAACTGGAATTTCTCAATATCTAGCCGCTCAGGTTTCACACCTTGAGATCTACGAGGTGAGTGAAGACGAAGTCTCAACTTAGTCACTACAAGCCGATGGTCGCTCCAACAATGAGCTCCTCGCATGACGCGAGTGATGCTAACTTGAGAAGTATTATTTTGCCTAACTATGGCATAGTCAATTAAATGCCAGTGCTTTGACCTAGGGTGCATCCATGTAGTTTTATATTTAGCGGGCAGTCTAAACATGGTGTTAGTGATGGCAAGATCAAACTTCGCACATAATGACAGCAAAAGTAATCCATTACTGTTCATATTGCCAACACCGTGTCTTCCCAGCACCCTAGGCCAAGCCTGATTGTCACGGCCGACTTTTGCATTAAAATCACCCAGTAATAAAATCTGTTTCCTGGGCTGGATCTTAGAGAGAGTTTGTGTCAGTTCTTCGTAAAACTGCTCTTTTATATCATCACTTCTTTGCAGAGTCGGCGCATAGACTCCAAGGATATTGAGGAAGTTGTTATTTTCCAAGTGTATTCGCAAGGAAGTCACGCGGTCCGAGGTGTGGATAGGATACTCCTCCAATTTCTTCAAAATGCTGTTTTTGACCGCAAAGCCGACTCCAGAGCGCCTGGGTTCTGAAGACGGAGTGCCTTTCAAAAAAGAAAGTATAACCACCCCCATGTTCCACCAGTTCACCCTCGTCGGCCAGATGCGTTTCGCTAAGAGCAGCAATATCAATATTATAGCGACGGAGTTCACGAGCCACAATGGCGGTCTTGCGCTCAGGACACTGGTTGCCTTCGCGGTCAAGGAGGGTGCGGACATTCCATGCGCCAAACGTCATTTCACGGATCTTGGTTTTAATTTTATTATTCTTCTGTTTTCGACCACGTAGTAGGTGATGCAGAAGTAGCCGTGGTTACTACCTCCGTAATGGGTGGGTCAAGCCTTTTTTGGGGCACCTTTTCTAGCCTCCTCCCCGGCTGAGCGGGGGAAGCAGGGCCCCCCTAAATAGAGCTGCTTCGTCACTCAGGGTGCTGCCGAATTCGTACTGTCGACCCAAAGCAGCACAAAAGCGACCACTTGCCCTGAGCCGCCCATGTGCAGACATTATCCACGGCCTGGTTGGCATCACAACCAGACCCCTCTGACTCTGTCCATCGCCATAGGTCTTGAATGAAGATCGGAGTCCGTTGTTAGAAAAACAGTCAAATTGCGCAGGAAATATTAAAGTGCATGAATGTTCGCGCTGACACAAATGCACTCTCTCGTCCGTACCCCTCTAGGCCTGATGGAACGGAAAACCGCTACGATCAGAGAGAGGTTTAGATGCAGACACCTACGGAGATGTCGTTCCGGGTTTTTTATTCGAAGTTTGCCTTCTTCTAGGTGATTTTTTTTTAAGAGCCAAAGCTAGGGAGCCCACCAAGAAGTGACAGGAAATAAGGCCGGAGAGAGGATAAGAAGGTTGGGGATACTGCCGTTGCGGAGAGGATTCTTGGGAGAACACGGCAGTAGCTCGAGCAAGTCGGGGTCGCGCACCCGTATATCCATTTATTCTCACCGGATAAGCAAGAATAATGAATACCTCTGACTGTAAACTTAACATTTAGGGGGATGAAAAATAGATGTTTTTCGATTCACCACCCTGGCCCATGCACACGGGCTTATGCACATAAAATTTAACGAAAATCGGTTGAGCCGTTTCGGAGGAGTTGACCAATGAAATAATCATAATAAGACTTTTAATTGCAAATTCAATGTCAGAAACACTAGCCCTTAATCAACACCTTTTTATCATGAGTTCTCATGAAATGCATTAAAGAAAATATAAAAAAAGCAATGTACTTTTAGCTTTCTTCGCATTATATGCTGCAAGGCGTTCCTCGCGTAGCTTGGCAGCTTCTGCACCTTCTTCTTCATCATCAGAGCCAAATAAGTCAACACCATCATCAGAATCTTGTTCCTCATGCACTATTGCAGTCTGCAAATTTGAAATAATATTTAATAATGTGACAAAAACAGGAAAATTTACACAATAGAAAGAACTTAATTAAAAATACCTTTGAGCATTCTGGTTTTATTACTCTACTCGGTCCTGACTCTAGCATCTCAACTCTGGACTGAAGTCCGAGAACCAACTTACGTAGATCATCAATAGCTTTTTTTAAATTGGTATTCTCCTTCTCCAAGTTGTTTAACTTATTGTAAAGCTCAGTATTTGGAACACCAGCTAATGTTGCTGTCACATTATCCATCTGAAAAGGAATGAAGATTGAGATTTATTTCAAAAAATTTTAAATATTTTAAAATTAAATAATTTTAGTAATTGTTTGCAGCAATAATAAACTTTTGAAGCAATCACAATTGTTACAATACCCCAAATGTTTATTGCATGTGATAGCAGATTTATACTAATAAACCTGTTTCCTAAGAAGCAAAATTATTCTGTTGTACAGCAGAGAAGAAAAATATTGCCATACAATTAATGGAACTTATGTTAACTCAGAACATTTCGAAACATTATGAGTGTAAAATAATCAAGACGAGAAAAAAAATAAAAAAAAATGACGTCCGATTAGTTTACACAGCTGTCAAACAACTATGTAGTCCTTTTAATCAAGATTCTAAATGTTATAAATTTAAAATTAAACACTAAAATCCACCAAAGAAATTTTATTCTGTTCCACAAAAATCAAATGTAATAACAATCAAATGAATTTTTAGTTGATCTAATTAACTTTATGCATATAACATAAATTGGAGGGATGTGAATAGTTGACCCATTTACATGATGTATTTCCACCTTGCTTTACATTTTTTTTACATAAATTTAATGTATAGTTTGCTATTATATCAGTCCTATTGTCACTGACTACATTCATTTATACAATTACTTTTACTTCCATTAATTTCCTGTGCATACTTTATGTTCTGGTTTTATATTTATAAGTGAAACTCTTCAATTTTTTCATCATACACATTAATAAATTTCTCTTCTTTTACAAATGGTAGGTATTAGCATATTACACTCACACGTTGTTATGTACTGAATTTGGTGCTTTTCATTTACAATATTCGGAGTTTACAGTACACATTAAATATTTATTCAAAATTTAAATGAAAGTTTAACTTTCACTCCCTTTATTGAATACTAGCTGCTGCCCACGACTACGTCTGCGTAGAATAGGCTGAAGGTGTTATTTTCAGATAGAAAGACATATATACATAAAAATATGTATATAAATTATAGCCTATGTTTTATTCTAATGTATAAGCTATATTATTGTAAAGTTTAATTAAAATCCATGCAGTAGTATTTGCGTGAAAGAGTAACAAACATCCATACAAACTTTATCCATACCATACATACAAACTTTCGCCTTTATAATATTAAGGTAAGGATATGGTAGATTATTAGGATGTAATAATAAGTGTTATAAATGCATTGCTTTTAATTTACTTACACATTCTAAGGAGTTTTTGATATGCTGTCTGGCCTTAGCTACTTCACTAGCTAAGGAGGAATTTCCTATGGAAACCGGAATGGTTTGTACCTGAAAGAGAAATTGTATTTTTATTATTATGTTGAATTAAGAAATGTATTAAGGTGGATATGAATAAAATTATCTTACAGCATTAACAAAATTAACAGATTTAATAATTGTTGCATGTATTACATTTAACCTTAAAATGCCAAGAATCCAACACTATTTTAACAATGCTTCAGCTACCAGAGCAATAACAATGTTTGAGGCTGGTCAGTTGCAGCATTCCATGCTTTTAGTATTACAATGAAAGCGATCATGCTCTATAGTTTGTTTTTTCTTTTTCTATTCCACAAGTATGAAAATTTGTTTTTATATCTCTCTGGGCTATACTGAGCAAGTAAGCTGTGTCAGTTCAGTTGTTTACTCGTTCAATGATGTACATAATGAAAGGAAAAGAACCATATCTCCAAAGATTTAAAGTTATATATTGAAATGAAAAGCTACAGATACACTACTACCTCAGACAGCTACAGATATAATATCTCTTAAGAAGTCTATATCTTCTCTATCACTCACTTGCAAGCTAGAGAACTCTAATGTAGGGTCAAAAGGCCAGACTAAGTCAGGGCTCTATTATCGAGGCTCTACTTTTACCTTTTAAAATAAACTACTATTTGTTACTATTCAGGTTTAATAAAAGTAAAAAAAATGCAAATATTTTACAACTACATTCTTTATTTGATTACACCTTTATAAGTTTTGTCTTATATAATGTAACTACAGTAGAATCTCACCAATCCAGCACAGAAGAAAATGGTGTATCTGCTAAAGATTATAATTCCTCAAAACATTAAGGAAAACATTTTTAAACAAGGACTACAAGTGCACAAAAACACCACAATCAAGGATTAATTTAAACCATGTAATTAGTTATTTGTGAGATAATAGGTTGGGGAAAAAGTTTCATCGCATTTTATATGAGTTCAAAAAATTTTTTAATAAAGTTTATTTACATTTAACTAAAGCATGTAGGTGCCATTTTGTTCGATAATTTTCTGCCATCTTGTAGGTAGGGACATAATCCCATTGCTATATAAATTCTGGGGCTTCTGATTACAAAACGGCGCAAGTGGTCAGTGGCAGTCCTCTCGTGATGTTAACCTGACACTGCCCAAATAATTCTGAAGAGACCGAAACACGTGGAAATCTGAAGGTGCAAAGCCAGTATGGATGCATTAACACCTCCCAGTCACTCTCTTAATTTTTGCTGAGTGGCTAAAGATGTGTGAGGTCTAGCGTTATCAGGATCACACCCCTTTCTATTGATTAATTTCGGCCGCTTTCTCTCAACTTCTTGCTTTATTCTCATCAGTTTGTTCCGCAGTAGAGTTCCTGGCAGTAACAGCTCATAATGAATAATGCCATTACAATGCCAACATACACACAGCATTACCCTGTTGCGAGATAATCTGAGTTTTGCCTGATATGATTTAAAGATCTTACCAGAGTCTTTCTCAGTCTTACAGAGATCTTTAAATTGCAGAGCGCAGGCAGTTACGAAATAATATACTAACTCACTTTTATAATGTAGAATTTATTATGCGGAACTCACAGGTTTTGCAATTTTTTTTTTACTTCACGAACTGTCCGATTTATTTTTCATAAGTCAAGACACTTATTGTCACTATGACTATGTTTACTTTTTTTGTTACTAAGTTGTTTGTTTTTTTGTTTCTATATGTATTAACTCCAACATTGCCAGTCTGTGAAGCCTGACCAGCATTTGACCATGACCTTTTTCACACCTTCTTGTCGTACATGATCCACTCTTCATCACCAGTTATCAGGTTTTTCAAAAATGGTTCAATTTCATTACGTCGTAATAAAGAATCACAAATGAGTACACGGTTCATTAGGTTTCTTTCAGTGAGCTCATGAGGCACCCTATATCCAGCTTTTTTGTATACTGTAAAACTGTTCAATTTCCAGTTCTTCAGCTACATCATAGCTACAGATATACCAATCTTGCTCCACTTTTTCAAAAATGGCATCCATTTTATCCATAACAGGGCCCAGAGCGAGGTGCATCTTTGACATCAAAATTTCCGGTTTGAAAACGCTTAAACCAAAGTTGTGCTACTCTCTACTTTTTTGTAGTAAAATTTTAAAATGTATTGAATTTCTTCATTAGAATCACTTATCTTAACAGTAAGAAAAACAAATGAAAATCACACATTTGCCTAATTGGAATTTAGAATCATCTTTTTTAAAATTTAAACCTTTTAATGATACCAAAACCAGCTAGATACAAATGTTATTGCCAAAGAGATATTAAAAGTACATACATACTATTTGCACAAAGAGTTTTTCCCCAACCTAATATGTTGCAGTTACAAAAAACCTGTTGGACATGAACACAAATACATCTTGTTTAATATTGCCGAATTAGTAAGATTCTTCTGTATTAGTTATCCTTTTGTATTTGTATGGGTAATTAAGTAATTATAATACTTCAACATTTTAAGTTTATTGTTATGAAATCTTTAAGAGGATAAGACCCTATTAAAAGTTCACATCTTTAAAGTTTACCTTTGATAATGACTCATAGTAGTTTTTTTCCGCATCATTATAAGAGGTTCTGTCGAACCATACCTTTTCATGTATTAAGGCAGTCATTCTCTGAAATAAAATCAATACTATATTAAAGAAAGTACATAAGATGAATTAGAGCTGCGGTTCAAACAATTCTTTAGGCGTTAATAGATATTGCATAGGCGTTTTCTGAATTGCGAACACGCGCGAGTTTTTACAATACTAAATTAATATACTAATCATTAAAAGGACGTAGAAAAAAAGTAATTAATATACCGACCATAACGCTTTAAAATGAAAGTTTATTATAAATGTATGGTGGAGAGTACTAACAACGAATGGATGCAGATGTATAGAATTGAAATTTAATGAAGTTTATTTAAACATCAAAACATTTTAGGTTATACACCGATTTGATTTTGAATTAAAAAAATGTGATATAACGTATTTTTATTATGGTGCACCCATTACATTTTTATATAAAATTTAAATTGTTTACCTTTAGGTTTTAATTTCGGTATTCTTAAAAGATATAAAAGTACAAGGTTTGATAGGCGGATTTTTGAATTATGTACTATTCGATGAACCGTCAAACTTCAAAAGAGGGAAAAAACATTCAACATGTGAAATGTGAGAGATTGTGAACGGAATGGTAAATTGGTATTACTATTGACCATTGACCAATTGTATGATATTGATATGGAAGAATGGAAGTGATTTGTTTCGTGCCACAGACTAAAAAACTTACACGGAACGAATCCACGTAAGCGATATGTATGCAATAAGCAGCAACTGTTATTGACACTATCTTAGTGTTGCTACGTCCACAGCAACATAAGAAATTATAGATATAGAATTTCAGTGTTATCGCATTTTTTATATTAAAGAGTGGTCTCTTTACTTACTAAATAAAATTCATTGATTTAACATACTGACCACACATAACACGTGTGGTAATATTTTTTACTTTTTTAATATCTTTTTTTTAAATTGGTTTATCAACAAAATTATACTGACTGCTAATAATAAATTTTACTCATAATCGTAGCCGAAACCAAATCAATCAAAACCAATTCAAATGAAACATTTTATGGGGTTACTGGATATTATTTAACTTAGACTATTGGTAAATGAATAATTACAACAATATTCAATGAAATTGTTAATTAAATAAGCGCAGACTTCACATGCTCAGCGTTGAAGTATGACATCGTCCTAAATTGCATATTTTCGAAATAATAACAAAAAAGTATTTCAATGCGGACGCGTGGTGGACTAGCCCTAATACCCTCTATACAGAAGAGGCTCTAGCCCAACAGTGAGACATATATGTTTAGGGAGCGCCCACTGCTCGTATGGAAATGTTGTCAGCGTCGTGAAGGTAGGTATGCGACGCTGAGGTTCCCTCTCCAGTCTCTCATTATTTGTAGTTGATAATGCTCAGAGCGTGGCATATGTGTGAGGAAGGTCGATGAATGAAAAATAGGGACTTAGGCAGGTATTTCACAGAATTTTAATCGATATCAATTTTATAACACGGTTACACTTAATTAACGGGCATGTGCGCAGTCGTTGACATTAAGTCACAAGGTTGTTGTCACGGAGGAAGCGTCCTGTCATGGAGATTACACATAGACATTTTGTTTCCATATTTACAAGCGGAACCACAGGGCAAATGTAAAGCCAGGGCCACTCAACATTATATCTCACAGATAATGGCGAACGCCACATATGAATAAGTAGGTAGTTACATAACTTTTTTAATTTATTGTCTCATTTATTTTTGAAGTTATGCTTCTCTTGCGTATGGAAAAAATTATGAAAATAAAATGTTTACTATGCGCGCGAAAGCCAACAGCAACAGGATACACGTGATTACAAAGCGACCGTGAAGATGTCACGGTATTACCATGGCGAATAATAAGAACTTTTTGTCATTTACCTAATAATTAAATATTTATATATTACACTAGCGGCAGGGCCAGATTTAGAAGTCTGGAGGCCTCGGGGCAACAAAGAAGTGGAGGCCCCTTGACGCCAAATTATTTTCCAAATAAAATGAACAATTTTTTCAGTCGAGTTTTCCAATAAATAATTTATTGTGAAACCAAGTATAAATATGAAAAGAAAAAATATTTACAATTGTTTACTAATCTGAATTTGAAATTTTTTCTTCCGAAGTCACTATTGTGGGTGCCCCTTTCTTGTGGAGGCCCCAGGGCTGTAGCCCCGGTTGCCCTCCTCTAAATCCGGCCCTCACTAGCGGACCCAACGACGGCAGAAGCACCAGCTTTAAAATAAAATAATCAAAATCGGTTCACTCGAAAGTTCTGAAGTAACAAACATAAAAAAATACAGTCGAATTAAGAACCTCCTCCTTTTTTGAAGTTCATTGAAAATAAATTCAATACAAGTCGGTTTTCTTTTTGGTTAATAAGTTTATATTATTTATCAAAACGCAAATAAAAGGGTCTTATGACTTTTCACGATAAAGTTAATATTTTTGGAGATAAGAATTTTTAAAAACTCGGAAAAGTTAAAATTTGGTTACCTTTGACCGACGAAACATAAAAAAAGATTTAAACATAAAAAAAACATTTTGTTTTTTATAATGAAGATATTAATTGATTATAGCCTTAATTGAGATTAGAAAAAAATTTATTGTTTATAACATATACAGCGTGTCGTTACCATCGTGACAATAAATGAACACACGTCTAACGCTACTTGCCAATAATCATAAAAAAATATTAACGTTAAACAAAATCTATGATTAAAAAAAATATATTTTTCAAACAAACTAATTAAGTAAAAAAGAAACAAAATTTGTGACATCCTATACAACTCGCGCCACAGCGTCGTATTACAAGCCTCTCCTTCTAACAGTATGTTTTGTCTCTTTTAAATTCATTCAACCCATTCTTATGCTTTGTGACCTTTACAAATGAACTTTACGTTACGCTTTTATAGGTAAGGCTGTTCTAAAATTCTTTGTTTTGGAAAATTTAATAACTCTGTAAATATTGATGTTTAAAGAATTTAAATGTTTAATACAACTTTAAAAAGTTATCCCCTATATGTGTGTTCATTTATTGTCGCGATGGTAACGACACGCTGTATACAATATTTTATTTGTTTATAACTGTTTTTTAATTGTATGCCTGACTTAAGCTTAAAGGGGAATAACTTTTACGAACGGCACGAATAACTTTTTTTTGTTTCTTTTTACCCTTTTTTACGGCCATTTCCACTAGCTAATCGTCAGATTAGTATCTGTCGGTTATCAGAAAGACAAAGCGCGTAGTGTAGGTAACATTGCGACAATCTGACGCGCTCAAGTACTTCCATGAGACTTTTTTTTTACATTTTGAACATTCTTACACGTTCTCTCCCCCCAATTAAAATGGAAAACTTGAAATAGAGTTTTTTATTTTAGAACCTAATCTTCACAGTCCAATAGGTCCCCATGACTTTTTAGTAACTACAAATTTAGCACCCCGGGCTCCCTTATTTATCCAAATTTTATGGTTAAAAAGAAAAAAGAAAGTCTATTCTGCGCAAAAATCGCCCCCTGCCTAGTGATACATCTGCAAAATTGTAATTGTTCAGGACGGCCGGTTCAAATTACATTTTTTTATTTTGTTTAATAAAAGTTTTTTTAGTAAAATTTTCAAACAATACATCTCGTTTTTCAACCTCGAAAAAATTTTAATTGATAGAGGAATATTAATAATGAAATAGTATATAAGTTAAAACCCATGAAAACGATTACTTTTAATTAAAAATATAATTAAAACGTGTTATTCACTAAGTCCGCCATTTTATTAATTTTACTTCAAAAACACACGCGGGCGACATCATACTATCGAATCGAAAATCGATTATTATAAAATCGATTTTTTTTTAATTAAATAAGTCACATATCCGACACAGAGCACTCCAACTCCATGTGGTCTTGCGGTCCCTACCCGTACAGTGACGAGGCGGAGCCAGAACCTCGCGTCGGAGGTCCTGAGTAGAGCAAGCCCGCGAAGGACGAGTGGGAGCTACACTCAGGGGCGACATAGCGAGAGTTCTGGCGAAGCACATGGAAGAGTTAACGGTGGTAGGCTGTGGCCAGCCGTGCAGCAGCCTCGGCTGTTGCACGAATGGACAGGCCCATGTTACTTACCCGGACGGGTAAGTAACATGACCTCACAGCAGACCAGCGTAAAGTGGAAGTATGACAAATACTTTCGCGTTTCGTCTGGTGAGTGAGGTAGCCGGAGGTAAATATTCAAAAGGTTGTCAACGCATCTGTAACCCTTGGGTGTGGCAGATGTCCATGGGCGGCGGTATTCACTTAACATCGGGTGAATCGTCTGCTCGTTTGACAACTTTTCGCATAAAAAAAAGTCAAACTTAATAAACTCTGAGAATATAACACCTAACTTGTTGCGTTAGTTTCGCAACCCATACGTGTCTTTGCATTATTGAAGGCACTTGCTATGTGAAGCTTTCACTGGTTAAACAATTCTTGGAAATAAAAACCATCGGTGATTTTGCCTCGTTCGCTCGGTGGTCGACCGAGATTTTTAAAACAAAATAAAAGCAATGAATAACAGGAACACAGCCGCGAATAAGACCATTCACTGTTTTATGACGAAATTTTATATTCCACTTGCATTTATATTTACACAAGTTTTTGTGTAAATCATAATACAAAAACGTACTCATACTTATTTATTACTTATTTCTCGTGTAAAATAAATTATTTCACATTTTAACAAATTAATCGCTCGAAAATTCACAATATATGGACTTTCATTACAAAGTAAACCTAATATTTTTTTGTACGTTTTTGGTTTTTTTTAATTGCTTTTGAATGTGAATAGATTAACTTCACCACATTTATTTATAGCCAATTGTTCAAATTCAATCGGGTGTTGCAGGTGTTCATAGGATGCGGTAATCACTTACCACTAGGTGTGCCTCCTGCTCGTTTGCCCCTTTTCTCCATAAAAACGGAGGGAGATTCGCAATGTAATCTTAGCCTTTTTTGTGTGAGAAGGGGGTAAGCGCAGTGGCGGAATTAATAGCAAAAT